TAACATTGGGCATTCATCTTCAGCCTACAGGCCCATATTATTTGGCAGACTTTTCAGTGAAGCAGGAAATTTGAAAGACTGTTTCGCCTATATTGGCAGTTTGTCAGTCACTTTTCTCTGTGTCCTACGGAATGTCTGGCAGGTTCTTCTGTGAAGCAGGAACAGTGAATGAGCATCCTGTCTTGTTTTGGCAAAGTTTGCAGCAGTCACTTTCCTGTGGGTTCTGCATGTCCAGTCTGCACAGCACATCGTCAGCAATCAAAGGCAGGCACAGTCTCCTTGCTCAGTAGCTAACCTTGCCACAATGACAGCAAATTCCGTAAGGAGTTTCTTCAATGCCTGTATCTTCTCTGAAGTAAATTGGTGGTGCCAGGAGCAGATGTGTGTCATTGTCGTGAAAAACTTTAAATTAACAAAACATTTTAAATGCCATAGTCTATAGGTCTGTGATGAATTTGAAGACTATTTATCGATCTAAAATATATCTCCATATGGTCTGGAAGACATACCTAACCTATCTGCAAATTTGATTGTTATAGATGAATAGCTACTGACCTGTGCTGCTTGATTATCCTAAATAGGTCATAGGTTTTCAAAAACTAGAACTTTACCTGACATTTTTAAATGAACAACCTAGGTAAAATACCTTAAATAAAAGCAGAAATATATATGTATAATATGTTGCAACAAAAATCAATATACAAAACACCTTTATTTTATTTTGAGTTTTGAGACAGGATTTCTCAGTAACTTTGGCGCCAGTCCTGTAACTTGCTCTGTAGACCAGACTGGCTTTGTTTCACTCACAGAGATCCACCTGGCTCTGCCTCTTGAGTGCTGGGATTAAAGGCATGCACCACTACTGTCCAGTCAAAAAATCCTTCAAACAAGAGTAGAAACATACAATGTGTTGGAACAAAAATAAACTTAAATTTTTAATCAACATACGAAAGTCCTTTAAACAAGAGTAAAATCATGTATAAAGTGTTTTAAAATTGACTTTGAATTTCCACTCATATACTAAAATCCACGCCAATGCAAAATATCTGAGATTAATAGTTGTCTTTTTATCTTATGTTTCTATATTACCCTAAATATAGCAAACATCCATGACCCACAAAATAGCCAAAGACCACCGACACCCCTTTTTTCTTGTGATTGTGGATGTTATGTTCTCTAGACTTCTTCCTGCTCAATGTGGGTGAAATATTTTTAGGGTCCCAGAGAGAACATCTGAGACAATGGCCAAGTCCTGGGAAGACCAATTATAATGTTTGTTGATAAATATCACCTGTCAAGTTTAAGGAGGTCTCTCCTGACCAAACCAGATCCAAATAAACCGGGAGCAAATCCACAGCCTCTTGTTTCCTGGGGAAAGAAAAGCAAAACCTCAAAAGCATTTTTGCTTTCCATCGGACAATTTTTTTTCACGTTTTAAAGTTAAAGCATTCTTAAATTATCTTGGCTAATTTATTTCCACAGTCCCTCTTTCAATTCCAGGTCTCTTAGCAGCTGCCCTGTGCATTTCAGCAATCAAAGAATTCAAAACCAACAATACTAGAATACAGGAACCAGACGTCCCATGTATTTTCCATCTTTATGTGGCTTTTTTCTTTTCCATTACTTTTACCGTCTCTTTAAGACTTTATTATTTTAATCCATTTCTTTCTTTCAACGACTGTCCATTTTCTTAAGCCTATGCACATTCTAAAACATACTTAAACCTGTTTAGAGGTTTTTGTTTTGTTTTTGTTTTTCGAGACAGGGTTTCTCTGTGTCATAGCCCCAGCTGACCTCAAACTCACAGAGATCCACCTGTCTCTGCCTCCCAAGTGCTAGGATTAAAGGCCTGTGCCACCTCTGCCTGGCTTCTCTTTAGAGGTTTTTTCACTCTGACCTCTTTTGCTGTGGATCTTTAGCCAATTTTGACCGCAGGAGCAAACTTTAGACTGTTAAAGCTACCTCTGAATCATTCCTGTGCTCTTGCAGCTGGCTCCACACACTCTCGGTTGGGTGAGGAGAGCCAAGCCTAAAGTTGTGGGCTGGTCAGAGGTGTGTTACTGAGAACTGCATTAAACTTTTCTAGGTATGGAAGCTGGTACCTGTGTTGCAGCTTTTACTTAGCTTACTAAGCAGATTTTACTTAGCTTGCTGTTTCTCATTTCTATTTAGCTCTGCTGGCTAAAAGAGTCGTGTACTCTCCCCCCTCCCCCATCCAGCTTTTTGGGGCTCTACATGGAAATATGGGCCCACATTAGAACACCAAAATGTTGTATGATACTTTACTGTTTTGGCTTTTTGAGAGGCCTCCCACCCAGCTCTCAAATAAATCACATACAGAGGCTTATTCTTATTCTTAATTATGACTGTCTGGTCTTAGCTTGGTTTGCTTCTTGCCAGCTTTTCTTTTCTTTGTTTTATTTCACGTGCATTGATATTTTGCCTCCATGTATGTCTATATGGGAGTGTCAGATCCCCTGGAACTGGAGTTACAGACAGTTGTGAGCTGTCATGTGGGTGCTGGGAACTGAACCTGGGTCCCTTGGAAGAGCAGCCAGTGCTCTTACCTACTGAGCCATCTCCCCAGTTTTTTAAAAATTGCCCTGACTACCTTTTGCCTCTGGGCTTTTATCTTTCTCTATTCCTGTATTCCTTTCTTTACTTCTTTCTCCGTGGCTGGCTGGGTGTCCTTTTCTCTTTGTTCTCTTAGGCTTCTGCTTCCTCATTTCTCCTTATATTTATACTCTCTTCCAGCTCCGCCTATCCTTGCTCCTGACTTGCTTATTGGCCATCAACTCTTTATCAGACCATCAGGTGTTTTAGACAGGCAAGGAATCACAGCTTCACTGAGTTAAACAAATACAACATAAACAAAAGCCATGCACCTTAAAATAATATTCCCCAACAGTGGGGTATTAAATTAAGCAGTTGCACTGTTTCGTTAATTACTTGGTAGGCTGTTGAAGATAGAGTTCCATGGTTCATTTACAGGGTCAGTGCAGTCAGTATTATCCTGAGCTGATCCTTACAGTGTGCCAGTTTCTAAATGGATTTTGATAGTTTATACTCTTTGGCTTGAGCTTAAGTAGACTAGTATCAGTTATGTGTAATTAAAATAAAAAGAAAGAAAACTGTGAAATATAAATACCCTTGTGACAACAGGTAAAGTTAGTAAAAACTTTTAAAAAAGAACCCATTCTCCTTTAAAACTGTAATCATGGATATATTCTTATTCTGTGTAATATATGTTACAGTTCTAAATTCAATATTCATTCTCATTTTTGATAACTTCATGCGTGTAGCTAATGTACTTTGATTATATTTACCCCACATTATTCTCTCTTATTCACTCTCCACTTCGGCTGCTTCCCTTCCCCTTTCTAAATACTTCTTTCATGTCTTTGGGGAATGTTGAAATTATTTAGACTTGCTTACGTGAGCATGGTTGGGATATGTTAATAATACTTTCCATAGACTTTTCCATGTGTTGAACCTACAGATGACATGTTTATCACTTTTCACCTATTTACTTTTTCTTTTAACATTCGAAATATTTAGGGGCATAGCTGTATATCTGTGTCCTTATGTTCCTGCATAAAATCTTGAATTTAGGAAATTATAATCCAGATTTTCTTCCGGGTATTGATGCCCTTGTCTTACTCTTGTCTTTGACTACCACTGTTAATTCCTTGGATATTCTCCAGAACAGCACTGTGGTTTACAGGTAGAAAAGTCTATCGAACGCAGGTTACTTCTTCCCATCTCATGTGCTCTGGGATTGGTCTCTATTTGCTCTGAGTTTCTGATGCAGTTCCATTGCTGCACTGATAGTGAGCATGGGTCCATGGTCATAGTGGATAGGCTTGTCCCTTCTCAGGGTTCTAAAGTCTTCACACCAAAGTCAGGACAAAGAAAGATCACATTCTGAAATGGGTGGAACCAGTTCTTCATAGAGTGGCATCCTTTAACCTCTTTTTTCATTCTTCTCTGCTACAGGATTCCCTCTGCTTATCCCAAGTTGTGTACTCTGGTGGTAAGCTAAAAACAAACAAAACATGGGTCCCCAAAAGGACTGTATTCTTAGACTCCCTGCCTTCAAACCTCCCCAGGGCGGTACTGTGTGGAGCATGCAAAAGCTGTTGTTTGTTCTGTTCCGAAATAATTGTTCATTCAACAGCTGTAACATTTAACAGATGGCATTGTTAAAGACTGTGCATCAGTCTCCCCAGATAGATTGAGTTTTGTGAAGACCCAGACTTGCTTGTCTTGATATGCTAAAAACCAAGCACTCTCCTTGATACATGGTAGACAGTTATAATGGTCTTCATTGGAGGTATTCAGATTGTCAAGGATTAGAAAAATGTGAAAACGTTGTAATGTATTGACATGGATGCATTTAGATTTAAGATGTATATCTGCCTGGTAGCTATGGGCAATGCAGTTTAATTTGGGATGCCATTTCTTGGAGCATGTGTGAATGTTCCACACAAGACACTTGAAAGTGACTGCCCTAAAATTTGAGTTACATAGGTGCTATCTCAGACAATTTGGGGCCAGATAACTCCACATCTATTTTTTAACAGCCACAGGATTCACCAAGTGAGACTATATATGTTTATATAATGTTTTACTGAATAGAAATATTACTCAGCATAGGCATTAAAATAATATCAGGTTGTGGAGAACCTTAATATAAACATTCAGAGTGCTTGCACTTTTCAGCATTAGACTAGTGGTGTGCCAGCGCTTTGTCTGGCCCTGCCATTGCGGTGATCTGATCATCAGTATAAGACAACAGGTAACATAATACATTCACAGAAGTTTCAGAAGCCTGGGTAAGCAAGATTGAATGCGCTCTTCCAAGTGTAGATTCCAATCAGCCTATTCCTAGAACTCTCCGATCATTGCCGATTAACGACCTTCCAATTCTTGTTTTAAATAAACTATATGTGTTGAATAATTTTAATTTCAGAAGACACTCTGATGTCTTTGTTTTTCAGTGTTGAAAATGAACCCCTGAGCTCACCCCAGAAAAAGGGAAATGCGCCTTCATCAGAAGCAGTAAAGGTATGGTTTAAATTATTATTTATAAGTTATACATTATAACACCAAGGACAGTTTACATTTCTGCATATTTTTCCTTTTAGGTTTTTGTTTTATGTGTATAGAAGAGTGTGTTTATTTTACATTGTTAGGGTATCCAACCTAGCCCTGTACAGGCTTCATGAGACGGGATGTGGGCGAACTTTGAGAAGGTTGCACTGGCTGCAATGTAAGCATCAGCTGAGGCCTTTAGATGCTGGTGCCTGCGTTTTAAAATATCTAAATCAGAGCATATGGATTTCATCATCTCTTTTCCAGTGGAGATTTTAAAGATTAAGTTGCCTCTTCTGGAGTGATAAAGATACCTCACAGTGCTTTGGGGAAGTACAAGTTAATATGTCAGGGATACAGTGTGAGGGATGTTTGGCCAGCTCATGTTTAAGCCTGCCGGGCACTTCAGAATGAGCCCAGCAATGTGCAAGCTATAAACCCATCTGCACAGTTGCCAGTGAGTGACGGAAAGCTATTGACCTTTCCGATTTTCCTAAGTGGCTTTCTAGAAAATTGGATTGTTTTGGGTTATTTGAACAGTTTTGTCACCACAGTTGTGGCTTTGGGTACCAGTTGCTTTCTTTATTTATATTTGATTTGTGACAGTCAGTCAGTTGGTTCCATCTGGGTATTTTAGCTTAAATTAGCCTTACTAGTAGAAGAATAGAAAGTTATCTAAATTTTCTGTTACTGTTGCATGTACTTTTTAACATGTTGAAAATTATATACAGTGTTCATGTCCTACACTAAGAAAGTTCAGGCGTGCGTTCTTCCTGCTTTCTCAGTGAAAGTGGAAATGATCTTTGCTTTATTGAAAGAAATAACTGAGTTTCCTTGTCGCATGATTGAGTTTGGCTACTAAATCTTAAGTCAGTCTCTCTCTCTCTCTCTCTCTCTCTCTCTCTCTCTCTCTCTTTCTGCTGATTTATATCTTTTCCAGTCAGGGTCTCACTATGTAACACAGCCCGTGTCTGTGGTCCCCACTCAGGCTTCTGACTGTTGGGATTGTAATATGCATCGCTATGCCTGACTCCATTCTCGGGCTTTCTCACTTCTTCCATCTACTTCTCGTCTACGGACAATGCTTGGCCAGCCTGCTGATGTACTGTGGCATGGGTTCTGCAACTTTTTCTCTCTTCTTCAGTCACTGAGAGTTTACCTACACAAGATTCTCACTTCTGATGCTATGCTTGAAATTTTACACTTTTGTTTCAGAGCTTGTTCTGAGATTTCAAACTTTGAGGATTCTTTGACTACCAATTCCTGTCTACCCATCTCGCAACCTCTCATTACTTCTACACTGTGGATCTTCATCAGCCCTTTCTTGGTTTCCTGTTCTCTTGGTCTCCTTATTTCCCTACTCTGCCTACATCTACCCACACCTATACTTTCCGTCAGCGGTCTTGGATAAAGTCAACCTTTAATTTCCAGAAGTCCAATCTTCTATCTCCAGAGATTGGCTCTAACAGTCTTCTTTGCATTTTTCATTCCTAGGGTTTGATTTTGAGCACCCAGGATTTCATTCTGGGATCTGGGCAGTTGCATAAATACTACTCATAGTCATGAGATGTTTCAGGGTTGCTTGCTTACGGGACATCTAATTCATCCATGATAAAAATGACACAGGACACTCTTTGCTGGAACATTTTGCTCCATAAAACTTGTTTCTCTTCCTTTCTCTCTGTCTCTCTTTCTGGGACACCTATCCCCCACATGTTCCTATAGACTAATACCACCATCAGTCACACAACTTGAGTATAAAAACAGTTGAAAAAGGCTAGCAATAGTATTTATTATATTGTTATTTTGAGCAGTTTCAATTGGAGATTTTTCATTTAGCAAGTGGCCTGAAGCATGCTGTTTGTTTCATTTCTCATTACCAGTGTTCTGAAGTGTCCACTGCACTGCAGTGTGACATTTCTCATCGTAATTCCATCCCATTCATCTGAATTGTATGCTGTTTGTAATAAGAGGGAGATGTCCAGGAGTTTCCCTCTGCAGTCTGGAACATAACACTTATGATTCGTTGACATAGTCATATATATCTCACTTTGTATTTGACATTGAGAAACTAAGTCAATATGTCAGTGATATTGCCTGAGATGTTTGAGGTACAAAAATTTATTTTACTTTTAAATAATCATAGCAATGGTTTTATAGTATATTTGGAATCTTAATCCTTAAAATGTTGTTTATATGTAGTATAAACCCTTTGGTTTTTCTAATATTGCTAGCTATTTCTAATGCTTGCATGTATTTGTCTCCTGGAATATGTATTTCTGTTATGTCAGTTGGAATTTTTATTTTAGGCGGGAAAACTTACCAGATATTTAGTCCTCATCATGCCGTTGTCTTGTAACCTTAACATGTCACTGTACTCTACAGTTTGGTTTAAGAGAGAGAATACCTGCCATGATGAGACAGTAACAGAGTTGATTTATTTTCCTTGCTCTTTTGTTCACCCATTTCCTATGGTGATTTCTGAATGGTAAGGAGTCCAGAGTGGCAGTCCGTCCATTCCACACAGCAAGTCGGAAATGCAGAATAGATTGTAGCAATGAAAAGTGATATCAGAGGACCTCACAGTTCTTTTAATATGTAGAATTATTTTTATTTTATTTTGTGTATAATAAACACATGAGTTTTTTCCCCCCTGCAAAAAAAGAAGAGAGAGAATACATGTTATGTCCCTTTATCAATTTCAGAGCATATCTTTCCTTGCCTCCCTTTCAAAGATGAACTCATGAGGGTCTGTACCCCATGCCTTGTGCTGGTGTTATTGGTGGCCTCCCTTCCTGCATACTCTTTATCCTATCTTGTCTGCTTCTAGCCCTTTTCTCTGTTGTCTCCTTCCCACGAGCCTCAGCTCTCCTTGTTTATATGTAAGTGATAGCAGTAGTCTCTGAGAATCGACTCCTACATTTTACTCAGAAATTTCATATGGAAGGAAGTCTGATATGGGATTCACCTCTGTATGCTGTGAATACCGCTAGTTAGTAAAGAATCTGCTTTGGGCCTCTTGCAGCACAGAATAGGGCAAGGCCGGAATTCCAAGCAGATAGAGGAGGAGAAAGTAGGTGGAGTCAAAGAGACGCCACTGAAGGAGAAAGACGCCGGCCGACAGCTAAAACCTTACCGGTAGGCCACGAGCATCATAGTAAAATATAAAATAAAAGAAATGGGTTAATTTAAGATGTAAGAGCTAGCTAGAAATACACTTAAGCTTTTGACCAACAGTATTGCAATTAATGTTTTCTGTGTGATTATTTCGGGTCTGGGCGGCCAGGAAACAAACAAGTAGTTTCTACCAAGAGAAGTCTGTCTTAAAACACTTCCAGTTCCTAATGGTTTCTAGTCTGACTCCTGTGTTTCCTTTAGTGCCATTAGACCAGACTTGGGAAGCTCAGTGCTGCATTTGTTGCATGACAGGGATGCTTCTATGGCTCCTTAGTGAATGAGGGCCATTCCGTAAAAGCTGTCCATTTAAGGTCACTAAATGATCCGTTCCTACCCACACTCATAGCCTCTTGTTCTCGGTTCTCAGTTTCCTTAGCCAGCTCAATCACTTCATCTTCCAAACCTTATTTTTGCTTTATTGCACTGGGCTTTATCTTCTACCTCTGGCTGTTTCCTTCTCGTTTATCTCACTGATTCTCTCTGGACCAAATTAACATCCCATGTTTCACATGGATGCTGAAGGTGCCTCACCTTCCTCGGTGTCGATCATCCAACGTGATACCTTGCCATCCTTGACTTTACCTTTAACTCTCAGGTCTTTACCTGATTTCTTGTTTCCCTGGGAGGCTCAGACTTGATTACTAGCATTCTTGACCCTTTTCCATGCGTGTATCTTTGAAATCTCAGATTCCACCTGCCTGAAAAATCTCAGTATCTTCAGACATGCTGTATACTTTTTTGTGTGGTTTTATTTGGAGTGTGAGCTATGAAGGTAGAAGAATTATCTTACTGGGAGTTGGATGCAAGAATCAAAAGTAGGCTAACACTGTTAGAAATTTAGGAGAGTCTTCACAACATATAAGTAATGTGTGCACATGTGTGTGTTGTGTGTGTGTGTCCGCATATATGTGCCATGATACAAGTGTGGTAATTAGAGGATAGCTCACAGAATTTGGTTCTCTCTTTACACCATGTAGGCTCTAGCTATGGAACTCAGGTCATCAGATTTGGTGGCAAGTTCCTCTACATGGTGAGCTGTCTTGGTGGCCTATACAACGAATAAGTAAATTTATGCATATGTTAACATTTCTTTTGTATATGGCCCTTCTTTCCTTCATGGGTGAAACGACAGTCAAATTAAGAATTTTACACGTTTTCTTAATAGGAGAGCGTCAGGTACTGAACTAATTTTGTAAAGTACTGCAGCCATACTAAAAGTTTGCGATCTTTTATTTTTCTATCCACTCAAATGATAGCAATATCATGCTAATTTAATATAAAAATTGTGAAACCTCTTTTTCGAGCGTGGGAACACTTTTGTTTTGAGTCCACTGTAACCTTCCCTGAAACGCCCTGTGTGAACAGATGGAAACAGAGCTCCCCGTTGGTGGCGGAGTCCCCTGGAGCCTCCCAGCCACTTTTGTTCTCTGCCAACTGTAACACGTCCTTGGAGCAGTTTTAGAATGACATGTGTGGGGATGGAAAGAACAGAGTCTTTGGAACCAAACATCTGGGCTTAAGTCTCACGCCTCGCATAATGTGGTTTGAAGCTTGGAAAGTGTTCTCAGCCACTCTGAACCTCGGCTTACTGTTCTCTCGTAGGGTGTCCGTTCTTTATTTCACAGAGGTGTTGTAGAGCTGCCTGAGAAGGTGTCTGAAGCTGTGCCATTCTGTTTACAGGAGATACTTGGAAAAATCTTGCCTTCTTGTCATAAAACGTGGCTTAAATGTAAAAATATATCTCTAAAAGGCTGGTGATGTATTCCTGTTAAATATATAGAAACTGGCTGTTAGAA